CTCTTTTTCCTTTCTGCTGCATGCACCTTTCTTTTTCTCTCTCTTTCTCTCCTATTTCTTCTTTTCTTTTTCTCCTATTTTTTCTACTTTTTGCTTTCGCTGCTTGGCTTTTGCGTGTATATATATATATAATAGGTGCAAGCAACGTGCAATGCACGTTTGCTTAGTTCATATTTAATATTTTTGTTTAATAATTAATTTGTTATTAATAAAAATGTAATTTTTTTTGGTTAATTAAGGGCGTTTCTGGGCGCGCTGCAAGGAGGAAGGAAAATTGATTATGTTACCTTTTTTTTTTTTTAAACCTGCAGCCCTACAGTGAGAGAATTGGTCCAAAATTGCGGCTTCCAACGGCATGAATTGTGTTGCCAACGGCTTGATTTCTGCTGAAAAACAGAAACAGACACCCTATAAATAATTAATGATGTAATATTTATATAATTGATAAATAATTAGATGTGTGATTTTGATATTGTGATGTAGATTGGTGAGATTGAAGAAAATAAGCAAAAGTAGACAAATTTGGAGAAATGGCTAAATTGTAAGGGATCCAAAGTTCGGGGGCTAAAATGTAAATAATTAAAAGTTGTACCGAATCTCACGATGAAGATTTGAGAGTGCTCGGAGTCAATTGGATAAAGGAAGATGTCAAGGGGATCAAATTTAGTCAAAAGATGATCACAAATCAATTTCCAACCGAAAAGTTATGCTCCGGTGTTTTAGTCTCATATTGAGACCTATTTTTGGCATAGGAAGTGATCGAATTGGAGAATGATGTCTGAATTAAAGTTGTAGCCAGATGAGTTAGCTTTCCAACGCATTTTGAATCGCCTCAATAGGATATCGGAATACAAAGTTATGATAAAAACACTGAAAGAAGGTGCAGCTGCCTGTTTAAAACAAGAAATTCCGTTACATAGTCCGTTATATTGAGACCTATTTTTGGCATAGAAAGTGATCGAATTGGAGAATAATATCTGAATCAAAGTTGTAGCCAGATGAGTTAGCTTTCCAACGCATTTTGAATCGCCTCAATCGGATATCGGAATACAAAGTTATGATAAAAATACTGAAAGAAGGTGCAGCTGCCTGTTTAAAACAAAAAATTCCGTTACATAATCCGTTATATTGAGACATATTTTTGGCATAGAAAGTGATCGAATTGGAGAATGACGTCTGAATCAAAGTTGTAGCCAGATGAGTTAGCTTTTCAACGCATTTTGAATCGGCTCAATCGGATATTGGAATACAAAGTTATGATAAAAACACTGAAAAAAGGTGCAATTGCCTATTTAAAATAAGAAATTCCGTTAGTTTTTCCGTTAAACCAAGAAATTCCGTTAGTTTTTCCGTTAATCCAACAAATTCCGTTAAATAGGCACTTTTTATATATAGAATGATATATGCTTCCAATTAAAATTTTCAATGCAAATCTATTGAGGCACATTTAACTCAAACACATTTAATGTAATATTTCTCTTCAATGTTTCTTATTTGAATTTTGCCATTTTTCGCCACTTTTACATTCTTTTCTCAAATTCGTCATTAGACAAACTTTTACCTATAAAATACATATACCGTAAATTATGTATAATTTTATCCAAAAAATAATAAAATATCATAATTTAGGGTTTTGAATAAGTGTAGAAACTATACTTATCAATAACGATTGCACGGATATACTCATTTGGGATGAGAACTCTAGTATTAGTAGGTTGATCAAGTTGTGAATAAATCTCGATCAAGTGCTAGCAATTTGGAACTTAAGTTGGCTTACATTACTAAGTTCCTATTTGTCTCTCATTTTTTAAAAAACTCATTTTTTATGTACTCATTTTCAATCATACATTCACACAATAAAATATTTTGCATGTAAACTCAAAATTTTATGATACTTTTTAACTATGCATTCTCCAAAAAATCATTATTTAAAACAATATTTTTTCCCAAAAAATGGACACCGAACAAGTGCTAAATCTATTCCCTGGTTATAGACTAACCACCACACAGAAGCTTGATTGACCACCTATCTAAAGTGAGCATCATGGTTTGCTGTAAAATAACAAATTATTACACTAGTTTCAAATATTAAATAATAAATTGGAAGTAATAAAATTACTATGATATGGTGTATTTGTTTTCCATTATTAAGAGAAAAATAGGTTAATGAATAGTATTTTTTGGAGAATTGGTAGTTGAAATTTAAAGTAACTTTATTAGTTTGTGTGCAGAATATTTTATTGGGCGAATGTGTGATGGAGAATCTTACTGTAACAAATAAATTTTTAGAATAATGATAGACAAATAAGAGCTAAATACTACATGGAATACATATAATAAAAAGTTATTAGGTGATAATTAACACGGGTAATGAATAGCATTACTCTCATTGATATATTTTTAAGGGAAATGATACTTGTACATTAGGGGTGCCATAAGGGTGTCCATAATGGATATCCTTATGTACCCCCAATGTACTTGTAGCATAGCTCTATTTTTAATATGATGGATGCAATAAATTTTCTGACTTTCCACTTATAAAATTCTTTTTTGCCAAAGAGTAATACTATTCAATACAATTGGTTTCAAACATCGATTTAAGTGACAGTTATGTAATATTAAATGATAGATTCAATTAAATGCAGGATTAATAATTCATTTAATTAAACTTATCAAAAAGTGATCACTTAAATTGGTTCTCTAACATCAACAATGTTAGAGGACGTTATTCTTTGCTAAATGGATACATACACGCTGCAAGACATTATTCTCTATTTTTATTTATTTATTTTATTTTGAGTGACTTTGAACCGAAGTTATTCTTTCTTTTCTCTTTTCCCACTTTCCATCTTTTCAGTCAAAATTGCCTTTACCACGTTAGGGTTGACGGTTGTGGTGGGGGGTGAGACAAAATCTTTATTTATTTATTTATAAAAAATAAAAATAATTTTAATTAGAACATAATTATAGCCTTATTCTACCATGAGTTAAGGTTAGTGGCAAAAATGATATTGCAGATGAATTTCTCAATTCGCTAATCATTCATGGAAATGTAATAATATGATGGCTAATTATATTTAGGGGTGGGCGCGGGTCGGTTCGGTTCGGTTCGGTTCGGTTTTTTTCGGTTCCAGAGATTTTCGGGTATTTAGTAAATGGAACCGTCGGTTCCAAATATAATTTTGGAACTTTTCGGGTTCGGTTCGGTTACGTACTATAATTAAATTTTTTAATATTTTCAGCAACACTACATAAATACAAATAATGACATT